GATATTGTGTTTGGATCTACAAATATCTCTCTCTGTAAAGAATTTGCTAAAACCATGCAAGGAGAATTTGAGATGTCAATGATGGGAGAACTTACCTTCTTTTTGGGATTACAAGTCAAACAAATGCATGATGGAACTTTCATAAGTCAAAGTAAGTATTGCAATGAACTTTTGAAAAAGTTTGGTATGGAAGGGTGTAAGGAGGCTGCCACACCAATATCAAACAATTGCAATCTTGACTTAGATGAGAAAGGAATTGCTGTTGATAATTCAAAATATAGAGGTATCATAGGATCACTCTTGTACTTGACAGCAAGTAGGCCTGATATAATGTTTGCTGTGTGCCTATGTGCAAGATTCCAAGCTAATCCTAAAGAATCTCATATGAAAAGTGTAAAGAGAATCCTTAAGTATTTGAAAGGCACAACTAATGTTGGTTTGTGGTATCCAAAGGGAGTCTCACTAAGTCTGATAGGCTACTCAGATTCAGACTATGCTGGGTGTAGACTAGATAGAAAGAGCACAAGTGGAACTTGTCACTTGTTAGGTAGTGCACTTGTTTCATGGCATAGCAAAAAGCAAGCTTGTGTTGCTTTAAGTACAGCTGAGGCTGAGTATATTGCAGCTGGAAGTTGTTGTGCTCAAATTCTTTGGATGAAGCAACAATTAAGAGACTATGGAGTTGAGTTGAACAAAATTCCTTTGAGGTGTGATAACACTAGTGCAATAAATCTGACCAAGAATCCAATTTTGCACTCTAGGACTAAGCATATTGAGATAAGACACCACTTTTTGAGAGATCATGTTCAAAGAAATGATTGTGCTGTGGAGTTTGTAGAGACAAGTAAACAACTTGCTGATATTTTTACAAAACCTCTACCTAGAGAAAGGTTCAATCAATTGAGAATTGAGTTGGGAATAATTAATGAATCAAGTTTGAATTGATTGTGTTGTGAGAATGAAAGTAAGAGATGTGTGAAAGATTATATTTGAAAGTGGCAAACAAGTCTTGGTAAAATTTGAGAAGTTAAAATTTTCAGAGAAGCAAATCTTCACTGGAATAATCGATTATCTTAAGATATAATCGATTATCTTAAGTGATTTATGGAAACAATCGATTATCTTGGGAAATAATCGATTATCTGGAACATGAAGAATTCCAAGAGTTTCTGAAATAATCGATTATTTGGGCAATAATCGATTATCTGGTAAGAAGGAACTCAAAAGTCACTGTAATAATCGATTATCTTGGGTAATAATCGATTATCTGAGTAGTAGAATCTGAAAAGTCACTGGAATAATCGATTATTCTGTAAATAATCGATTATCTGGGGAGTATAAGGAAAAACGACCTTCTGTAATAATCGATTATCCTTAAAATAATCGATTATCCACATCAGAATGTGTTTTTAGCTGAGTTTTCTGATGCAAATAATCGATTATTTGCATAAATAATCGATTATCTGGGCGATTTTGTTTGAAATTTCCTGAAACGGTTATTTACGCGCCAACCCTTAGACTACCCATAACTCTTATACCCACAACGTGCTAGGGCTTCAAAAACACTCTCATTCTCTCATTCTCTCATTCTCTCATTTTTCCCCAAACCCTCAAAACCCTAACCCTCTCAAATCCTTCCACAATTCTTCATCTTCTTCATCTTTCTCTAAGACCCAACCATGGCATCTTCTTCCAAAAGGCCCAAGAAGCTCGAAGTGAGGGGGAGCAAGCGTCCTCTTCCCTCTGGGCAGCTAATCACAAAGTGGTTTGCAGATGAGAAAGCTCAAGAATACTATTTTGAGTGGTACGCCGGTCGGAGAATCATTCCTCCGAAGACCTTGAAGCTTGATTGGTTCAAGAACGAGGGGTTTAGCTTTCCAACCCTTTTGGAGCATCAGGAGTTGAAGGCGTTCTTGGAAATGGAAGGACCCTATTATCCGGAGCTAATCAGGTTATTCCTCTGTTTTGCCTCCACTAATGATGGGGTTATGCAATCTGTGATTAAGGGGAAGTTAATCAGGCTGGATGGACCTACATTGAAAGCGGCTGCTGGGCTGAGCGGAACCGGAAAGGAGAAACCCCAACCATTCAATTTCGGGGATTTTGAAGAACTGACAACGTTCCGGGACTGTCAAAGGGTTCCATCTAACACCAACTACGAGAAATTTTTGGCGGGAGGTATGAAGAAAAACTCTCGTTTAATTTCTTTCATTATTGCCTGGATGTTAAAACCAAGGTTGCACAACCATGCACAAATGTCTCGGGATGACATTTTATTAATGCATGTGATTAAGAAGAAAATTAAGATTGATTGGGTGTCAGTTGTGAACGATTGTATCTGGAAGGCAAGGAGAAAGGAAGACGGTCCGATTCCTTATGCTTTACTCTTGTCTAAAATTTTTGAAAATGCTGGAGTAGATTTGACAGGTGAAAGAAAGATTGTTCTACACGCGTCAAATAAAATTGAGAAATCTTCTTTGCACCACATGGGTATGCTGAAGCAAGAAGATAAGTGGGTTTTTAAAGGAGATGTTCCTCCTACCCCGGAGCCAGCTACAGATGAGGACGGTGTTCCTTCTCATGATGAGGATCAGCCACCACAGGTGGAAGCTGAGCCTAGAGAAGCTGAGCCGGAGCTGAAGCCGTTCTCACCGTTTGAACAGATCATGATCAACAAAATGGATGCTATGATGGAGATGTCACGGAGACATGAATCCATGTTCTCTGGAATTCTTGATAGGTTTGACGACCTAGATCATGAAGTCAGAATCATCAAGACGCAGCTTGGTATTCCGGACGATGAGGAGTGATTTCTGTTTTTGTTATTTTGCTTAGTTTTTAAATTCAAGTTTGGAACAATTTTTAAGTTCATTTGGGTTGTAATGATTTTAATTCCTGAACACTTTTATTGCTTTTGATGTTGAACAATTTAAATTTGATGAATTTGAAGTTTGTTTGTTAATGTGTTGGTTCAATTTTGATTCCAAAGCTTGGTTTGGATTGCTGATGCAAAATGCTCTGTTTTTGGTGAGCATATATGTTGGAATGTGATTATTTGTGCTTTGGAATACTCTGTTTTTGTACTGTGAAAATGACTATCTTGACTTGATTTGGTTTGGTTTGTGATATGGTGCACAATTGGCATCACAAATTGGTTAAAATTTGGTTTGAGTTGCAGAACCAAAATTGGTTCATTTATGATAATATTGCTGGAGAGAATCTGTACATGGAAATTCTTTGTTAACCTTGGCTTACTTTGTTTTTGATAATGCCAAAGGGGGAGAAATGGTATTGTGTATTGTGTGTTTAGTTGTTGTTTGCAGGTATTGTGTGTGTGTGTGTGTGTTGTGCAGGTGGTTCGTGGCACAATATGGCACAATAAGAAGTTAAGTGAATATTGGTTCATGGATTAGTTCATGGGTTGTCATCATCAAAAAGGGGGAGATTGTTGAGCTTAGGGGAGCTGAAGACTTTAAGAGTTTTGATGATCACAACAACTTGGAGACAACAAGTGTACAACAACAACATTGAACACAAAAACAAAGTCAAGGAAGAGTCAAGAAAAATACCTTGAAGTATAGCTATGTAATAGAGCTTAGGAAGCAAATTGTTATAAATGAATTGTTATATTTGTGTCTGTGTGTGCTTTGTGCATTGAGCAAATCTTGTCTAGAATCAAGTAGGGAGTAGATGATGATGAGTTAAACATTGGAAAATTATTTTGAGACTTAAAATGAAGTTTTAAGAACTGACTCAAAATAATCGATTATTGTTAAATATAATCGATTATTTCAGCAAGTGGGCTAAGTGGAATGCCTTGCTGTAATAATCGATTATTTGCCAAAATAATCGATTATTTCAGGAACAACTCTCTGGAATAATCGATTATCCAGCTAAATAATCGATTAAATTGTTCTTGATTGATTTCCAGAAATCTGAAGAACAAAATAATCGATTATTCTTTAAAATAATCGATTATCTGGGTTTGAATTTTTATAAATAGTTTGAACTCTTTTGAAACTTCATAACATTGAGTAAAAACTGATAATCAACTGGTAAAAACGTTTTAGAGAGTCTGTGTGACATCTTGGAGAGTTTTCTTTGTGAAATCCAAGAGAAAAACGTTTGTGAAAAGCTTGTGAGGAAATCATCATCATCATCATACTCTTGAAAGAGGAAGACAAAGATTTGTTCAAGAATTCCAGGTGAATTCGTTTCATTTTATTCTTTGTGAATCTTTGTGAAAAATCTTGAGAAGGGTTTCTCAAGTGGTGAAGTTTCTTGTAGTGGGTTCTACAAGGGTTACTTTCTTGGGGTCAAGAAAGTGGTTATCTTTTTGTAGTGAAGTATATGCATGTGTGTGTGCTTGTAAACCTTCTTGCTAAAAGATAGTGGATCAAATCTTAATCAGGTGGTGATTAAGGACTGGATGTAGGTCACATGTGGAGTGGCTGAACCAGTATAAAAGACTTGTGCAATCTTCTTCAACCTTATCTCTTATTTTGTAATTTCTTGGTTGTGCTTTAAAGAAGATAAAACTTGATTAACATGTGTATGTGAATTTTGATGGTTTAAATCTATAATTGGATATTATATTTGAACCTCATTGTCTTGTAATCAAGTTGCACATTGCATTCATATCATTGTAACAAGTCTTTAAGAGTGCTTCATTTGAAAATTCTGTCATAGAAAAGTTTTGATTGAAGTTAAGATCCAAAAACTCTGATAAATTTTTAAAGGGTCATTGAATCCAATTCACCCCCCTCTTGGATTGGGCCATTCTTTTCTAACAATTGGTATCTAGAGCAAGGTTCTTGAGAGTTATTCAAGATTTAAAAATGGCCAACAACAACCTACCCTATGGTGAGGGTGTCTCTATACATAGACCTCCTGTTTTCAATGGTGAAAATTATGTCTATTGGAAGATTAGGATGAGAATTTTCATTGAAGCTATTGATATTGCTGTATGGGATGCTATAGAAAATGGACCCTATATCCCTATGAAAAAGAATGATGATGGTGAGCTTAAGGAAAAACATTGGAGTGAGTGGAGTGATGAGGAAAAGAGAAGAGCCCAACATGACAAAAGAGCCAAAAACATCATAACATCTGCATTGTCTATTGATGAATTTTTCAGAATTTCACAATGCTTATCTGCTAAAGAAATGTGGGACACTTTGCAAGTCACTCATGAAGGAACAAGTGATGTAAAGAGATCAAGAAAGCATACTCTCATTAGAGAATATGAGCTGTTTAGAATGCAAAATGGTGAATCTATTTCTGATTTTCAAAAGAGATTTACACACTTGATAAATCACCTTGTTGACCTTGGCAGGAAATTTGAAAAGGAAGAGCTGAATCTAAAAGTGCTGCAATGCTTGGATAGATCATGGCAAGCAAAGGTGACAGCCATTGAAGAATCAAAGGATTTGACCTCCTTGACATTAGCTACTCTCTTTGGGAAATTAAGGGAGCATGAGCAAAAGCTGCACATATTTGATGAACATGAGCAGCAAGATAAGAAAGGCAAAGGAGTGTCATTGAAAGCCTTGAAATCTGCCAAAGGTAAAGAGGTGTGTGAAGAAACAAGCTCCGATGATTCCGAAACCGAGAACTTCAATCTGCTGGTAAAGAAGTTCAGAAAGTTCATGAGAAGAAAGAAGAATTCCCCCTACAAATTCAATAAGAAGTCAAACAAGAAAGAGGAAGCAAGCACATCCTCCTTTAATTGCTTTGAATGTGGTAAACCGGGACACATGAAAGCTGAGTGTCCAAATCTCTTGAAGAAGCAACAAGAGGAGAAGAAAATTAAGAAAAATGCAAAAGGAAAGAGAGCCTACATTGCTTGGGAAGATAATGACTCAAGCACATCAAGTGATGAATCTGAATGTGAGGAGAACAACCTGTGCTTGATGGCTGGAACTGACCATGACACAATTGTAAGTGACTCTGACCTTGAATCCAATCCGGATTATGATCAGCTTCAAGAAGCTTTTATACAAATTCATGAAGAAGCTGTCAAATTAGGTGCCTTAAATTCAAAGTTGAAAAACAAGCTGAAATGGTATGAAAATGCTTTAATTAAAGCTGAACAAGAACTTGAAGATTTGAAGCATGAGCATGAAAATCTTCAAACTATGTTTAACTTTAGTGAAGCTCATTCCTCAAAAGATGTTTGTGAACATTGCAAAGTTTTTGAAAAAGAAAATGCTGACTTAAAATCCACACTTGCAAGGTTCACAAAGGGAAATGCAAATTTGAATATTCTTTTGGGAAAACAAAGAAACACTTTTGATAGGAGTGGACTTGGCTTTAATCCAAGTACAAGCATACCAATTGTGTCAAAGAAAGTAGCTTTTGTGAAAAGTCAAAATTTTAGAAAACTCAAAAGCAACTTTTCTAGACAAGCAACTTGTTTTTATTGTTGTAAAAGGGGTCATACAATTAGGAACTGCTATTCAAGAAAATATGGAGTTCCAAGTGGAAAAATGATTTGGGTTGAGAAGAGTCAAAGGCTGAGAACTAACCAACAAGGACCCTCCACATGGGTACCTAAATTTTTCCTCTGAATTTATTTTGTAGGAATGCTTGAGGGCCAAAAATTTGCTGTGGTATCTTGATAGTGGCTGCTCAAGGCACATGACCGGGGATCCCTCCAAATTCTCAAGTCTGAAATTGAAGAATGAAGGGTATGTTACCTATGGTGACAACAATAAAGGCAAAATTCTTGGCCATGGCAATGTTGGTAATTCCTCCTCTCAAACATTGATTGAAAATGTTTTGCTTGTTGATGGCTTGAAACATAATTTGCTGAGTATTAGTCAATTGAGTGATAAAGGCTTTAAAATTGAATTTGATGATACATGTTGCTTGATATGTGATAAAAAGAGTAAAGAAATCAGATTCATTGGTAAAAGAATTGACAATATATACATGCTTGACTTAGAACACTCTATAACAATGTCAAACACTAAGTGTCTAATAACTCAAGAAGAAAACATATGGCTTTGGCATAGGAGAGCTGCACACATTCATATGGATCACCTGAATAAGCTGTGTAGGAAAGAATTAGTGGTTGGTCTACCTAAACTCAAGTTTGGAAAAGACAAACTATGTGATGCTTGTCAAAAGGGCAAGCAAGTGAAGGCTAGCTTTAAAAGCAAAAATCAGATTTCCACATCTAGACCTTTGCAATTAATTCACATGGATTTGTTTGGTCCTTCAAGAACCATGAGCTTAGGCGGAAACTACTATGGCTTAGTAATTGTTGATGACTACTCAAGATATACATGGGTTATGTTTCTTGCAAACAAAAATGATGCTTTTAATGCCTTTAGAAAATTTGCCAAACTTGTTCAAAATGAGAAGTGTTCAAACATCACCTCTATAAGAAGTGACCATGGAGGTGAGTTTCAAAACATAATGTTTCAAAAATTCTGTGAGGAACATGGTATAAACCATAATTTCTCAGCACCTAGGACACCTCAACAAAATGGGGTTGTTGAGAGGAAAAATAGGTCCTTAGAAGAACTTGCTAGAACAATGTTGAATGAAACAAACTTGCCAAAATATTTTTGGGCTGATGCTATTAACACAGCTTGTCATGTGTTAAACAAAGTTCTGATTCGGCCTATATTAAAGAAAACACCCTATGAAATTTACAAAGGAAAGAAGCCTAACATTTCATATTTTAGAGTGTTTGGGTGTAAGTGCTATGTGCTGAATAATGGGAAAGAGCAACTTGGAAAGTTTGATGCAAAGGCTGATGAGGCAATCTTTCTAGGATACTCTACAAATAGTAAGGCTTATAGAATCTATAATAAGAGAACTCTAGTTGTAGAAGAATCTGTCCATGTGGTATTTGATGAGTCAAATAAGCAAGAGACTAGGCAAACTGAAATTGAAGATTTAACTGAGTTGCTTGATCAATCCCTATTGGAGAATGAACCAAGTGAAGTGCCTAAGGAGAGTGAATCACATGAGAAAGCAAAGGAAACATGTGAACAATTGCCCAAGGAATGGAAAACTTCTAGAGACTTATCAATGGATAACATAATTGGAAATATTGGTAAGGGAGTGTCAACTAGGAGTGCTATTAAAAATATTTGCAACACTATGGCATTTGTGTCACAAGTTGAACCTAAGAGCATTGATGAAGCACTAAAAGATGAACATTGGTTAATGGCAATGCAAGAGGAACTAAATCAGTTTGAAAGAAATGAAGTGTGGGATTTAGTACCATTACCAAAAGATTATCCAATTATTGGAACCAAATGGGTTTTTAGAAATAAGCTTGATGAATCTGGAATAATTCTAAGAAATAAGGCAAGACTAGTGGTTAAGGGGTATAACCAAGAAGAGGGGATTGACTATGATGAGACTTTTGCCCTTATAGCAAGAATTGAGGCCATTAGATTACTTCTTGCTTATTCCTCTATAAAGAATTTCAAGCTGTATCAAATGGATGTGAAAAGTGCTTTCCTTAATGGGTTGATACAAGAGGAAGTGTATGTTGAACAACCACCAGGCTTTGTGGACTTTAAGAATCCTAATCATGTGTACAAGCTCAAAAAGGAACTCTATGGCTTGAAGCAAGCTCCTAGATCATGGTATGACAGGTTGAGCAAATTTTTGATTGAGAATGACTATGAAAGAGGAAAAGTGGATAATACATTGTTTGTCAAGAACTTTAAAAATGATACAATGTATGTACAAATATATGTGGATGATATTGTGTTTGGATCCACAAATACCTCTCTTTGTAAAGAATTTGCTAAAACCATGCAAGGAGAATTTGAAATGTCAATGATGGGAGAGCTTACATTCTTTTTAGGATTGCAAATCAAACAAATGCATGATGGAATATTCATAAGTCAAAGCAAGTATTGCAATGAACTTCTGAAAAAGTTTGGTATGGAAGGGTGTAAGGAGGCTGCCACACCTATATCAAACAATTGCAATCTTGACTTAGATGAGAAAGGAATTGCTTTTGATAATTCAAAGTATCGAGGCATTATTGGATCACTCTTAATCTTGACAGCAAGTAGGCCTGATATAATGTTTGTTGTGTG